GATGGTTGTGTGTGTGTATGTGTGTGTGTGTGTGTGTGTGTGTGTCGTTGTCTTCGTTTCTTGATCCTGGCTGTCTCTGAAACAGAAAAGGTTAGCGGGCAGGGGACTCTGAAGGCGTGAAAACTAGCGATACTCTAGTGTGGTTGGAGGGTTCGGCCGATATCGAATGAGCGGAACGGCTGAAAACGCGGAAAATTTGAAATCCGCGTTTCCCCGTATAACGGCGTTTTGGCTCATCCGATTGGGACGAAAATTTAGTGAGATAATGTCAGCGACTTGAGGAGTGCTGCATTAAATTTTGACACCGATCGCTCAATAACTTTTGGAGTTATTGGCGATAGCGTCCTTGACCAATTCAAAAGTGTAGTGAAATTTCTAATGGCCGTTTCCAAATGTCATCGTGAAGCGTCCCGGGGTTCGACTGCAGGTTGCGAGAGCAGCAGCAGTGGTCACTGCGCGCCGAGATGGCAGACCCAGGCGAGATCGGTCGCGATGCGGGTGACATTGGAAAGGTCAGTGAAATTGGTCTTTAACGCTCTGGGAGCGCTATCGCCGTGAGGATCGATGTCTGAAGACTCTTATAGAGGCTTTTTCATTCTGCCCGGCCGACAGCGATTGATTTTGCAACCGTGGCGGGTTTTTGGTTTGGATTGGAAAGGTAGGTGAATATGATTGTTTCGCCTCCTTTCCAATTCAGCGGTCTCCGGCATATCCGATAGGTACAAGATTATGACTTCTATGAATATACGGGGTGTTCTGAAATCCTTAAGCTCGCTCGAAGGGTGGAATACGACACTAGGATATACAAGCCTTGGGTTTTATTGTCTAGCCGAAATAATTTGCTCTCTTCGTTTATCACATGTATTGATTAATGCTTTTTCTTTTTATCACATTTGCAATAGTATATACAGGGTGGCCAAAAATAAAAAAACAATAATTAAGCGTAGTACCTACTCGAATTTAGTTCTTTGATACAAGGAGAGTTAGAAAATGATCCTTTTAGAGAAATATTATTTTTTTCGACGAAGCAACGGTCAGTTCCAATAGGACAGTGATTTCTCAAAATTGTCGTTGGTGTAGTGATGTTAATCCTAATCTTACTATTCGGACCCATTTAAAACAAATGTGTGGTGTGGGATTTATAAAGATAGAGTAATTAGACCAATATTTTTTCGTGAAACATAAAAAATAGTGAACATATATCACAGACGACAATTGTGGTACCAACAGGATGGTGCACAATGAGACATGTACAAGAGATGTAAGACAATTGTGACGGTGTTTGGGGAAACCGCCACAAAACTGGGGGTAGTTCCAAAATTTTGAGTGGCTATAGTGGATGAAGGGGACGGATAATATCCACAATAGGGGTTGGCAGCTAGCTTCAGTGGAGACGGGCTGGGTAAANTCCACGTGCCAATTTGTCCAATCATATGTAAAAATATGCTTTCACGGTGGACTACGATTTCACCGTCCGCAATGGACTGGGGATTGCGCGCGCGGTCAGACATAACTCTTTGGTACGTTCACGGAGTACATCCACTTTATGCAACCAACCTAACAAATATGACATATTGAATGCATACTATTTAGATTTTTTATTGATTTAATAAATACATTATTTTAAGTTTACAGTTTGAAAATATCTGGGGGGGGCGGAGTCCCAGAGTCCTCCTTCACGAGCCGCCACTGATGAATATATTACAGTGGTGGGTGTACACAAGAATTAAAGTGTATTTTAAAAAACTAACTCGACTATTTATTTCATTAAAATGGAAAGAATTTCAGACTGGCATTCAGTTTCACACTGTATGTCAGAATTTGTATTACTGAATCATAATTTATTACTTTAATATCCATTCATATTTTACGAAAAAAAACTGCACATTGCATAACTAATGTGACATCACTCGATCGCAAACGACTAGGATTTAGGAACAATTAAATTAATAATAAAGAAGACATTTTTACTAGTGATAAAAAATCTGTAGATTTGTTATATTTATCGGAAAATTTGAGATAAATTTGTAGGGTTAATAACACTAGGCCCACGTCGCATAAGATTCGCGTATGCATGAAGAATGATCAACACGGTCCACCGTTTAAGGGTAGGTATATTGGAGCACAGCCACTAGCGGCGCCTCATGCGAAGATTATAAAATTAAAAAAAAAATTGTACGCCACTGGTTATTTAAATAATTTTAAATGTTTTTCAAACGTACAATCATTTTGTAGCAATAAGGTTTTCTTGTAAAGTATTCGCAAAATTTTCGGGTTTTTAGATAAATGGGAAATCAAATAAGAAGATACTTTAATACTTACGTTACTTGTATTGTTTGAAAATATTGAGAATTTAGGAACTTAATAATAATAATAGGATAACATTTTATGGATCTAACGATATTTGCTAAAATAACTTTTTTGATTTATAAAACGGTATTTATTAACATCTGGAATTTAGCATCATAGTTTTGATATTTTTAATTTCCAAATATGTAGATATTACATATTTGATTATAATAGATTCTAGCTGCTAACCTTGTCTATATAAATGTATAATACCCCCAGTAGAATTAGATCATAAAACCTGAAAAATCTGAAAAAATTATTAATGACATTTTATTGCACTTTATGACGAGAAAGGAAATGTTGAATGATAATATTAAAAATGTAACTCGAAAGTAGTGACGCTAAGTAGGCAAATTGCAAATAAGTTGCAAAATTACGTATTTTTTCATTTTTTAACTGTCCATGAAGATACATATTCTTCAATAAAGCAAAAAATAGAATATGCGAAAAAATAATATTTATAGCAGTCAGAAGTAGAAATTGAATTTATATGGACATTTTTAATTTATAAATATTTAATGTATAATTTGCGACGGAATTAATACCGACAATGTTATACATTTTATGACGGCATTATACTCGTCTCGAGGAGATAGGTACCTAAAATAAAAAAAATCATCAAAATTGATCGGGCGGTTCTCGAGATAGAGACCGACCCGAATTTGAAATGTTGAAGGCAAAAATATCGCGGGCCAGCGGCCAGCGAGACGGCGGCGGGCGTGAACCCGACCGTACTTCCGCGAGTTCCGCTCCGCGTGCAAGCCGTTGCCGTTTTACTGCTGCTAACACATTTATTACATGAACTATCAATGTAATACTTTTTGAAAATAAAAGTTTAACTCTTCCTTTAATTGGATTGGTTTCTATGGATGAATTATTAGAAGCTATATTTACGATGTTAATTTCTAAAATTAACGTTTGGTAATTAGTTGCAAAAAACGAACAAAATTAATTAACTATTTGTTGCTAGAGCAACAATTTCACGGTCAATCGAATCGGCCTTTGGCACACATGTTGGTCTTTGGAGTGATAGACTTTTCCATAAATTTCTTCAACACTTACCGTTTTTTGCAATAATAGTGCGCAATTTTCTAAAACTAATTTTTCCAAGTTCGACCTTTATTTTACACTTAACAAATAGCTGAAAAGTGACTTCAGGTACCTTAAATTGTAGGTAATTTAATGCCTACAAGATAAAACAATTAATTTTCCGATACGTCGTCTACATTTTCATAGTCAGTAAAAAAAAGTGAAAAAACACGTAATTTTGCAATTTATTTGCAATTTGCCAACTTAGCGTCACTTCTTTCGATTTGCTTTTTTGATACTATCATTCTACGTACCTACATAAGTACCTTTCCCCGTCATAAAGTGCAATAAAGTGTCTACTAATTTTTTTCACGTTCATCAACAATCATAATTCTTAAATATATATATATATATATATAAAATATTTAAATATTTTTGGGGAAAAAATTAGATTCTAAATTTTCGCTTATTCACGTCACAAAATCAGTTTTAATTGTGCCAATCTTAAAATTAGTCTAGGTGAAAATATCAAAATATGTATAAATAAGTACGAGATCCATATTTGTTTTATCGTTTGATGCAGTTAAAAGGTTGCATTTACTTATGGACAGTAATCAGAACCTCATTTTTAAGTAATAATTGGCCCTGGCATCCTACTCAACATAAAATTTGTTGAACTACCCTGTATACATGATACATATCCACGTGCGTCTAAGTAAAATGATATGTAGGAGAGCGCGTATTTTGTGTAAACTTTAAATAAAAGAAAAAAGAATGAAAACAACCACCGTTTTTCCTTTTATTAGTATTTATTTAAATAAATATCCATTAAGAGTCCAAAAATAAAGTATAACACAAAAAAAAATGCCTTTAAACTGTGAATTGCAAAGAGCTTTATACAATCTATACGTAACGAGACACCCCAGTTCCCAGGTATCTATCTAAACTTACATTTCACGTAAGCCCTGTATTTTGTAAGCAACAATTCGCGGACAACTACATGCAAGGACTTACCACTTATGTATGTCAAATTATATTTATCACTGATTGCTTATTGTTTCCATTCCCTTCAAATAGTGATTCCTTTAGCCATAATTTTATAAAAACGTTCGTTTTTTAAAGAGCTATTTACTTATCCAATATAATTTCCGTCTTATACAAATGACATAGGTAACCTCACTTCTACAAATCTTCTTCTGCTTCTGTAATTGTTGTTTTTATCTACTACATTTTTACCTTTGTTTATATGAATTTTATATGAGTAATAATTATTGTCCCGATCCCAAATTGAGTCCTCATCGATATTATTTAGCTATTTATTTTCAAAAACAAATTAAATGCTGCCTGCTTAATCCAAGAATTATTTATTTTCAGTGGTCTTTACTGAGCAAAATATTTATTTAAAAATTAGGCCTCTGGTATATCAGGAAGTGTTAAAATAACTAAAGGAAAATATAATTGACTGTTTATTAAATTCATGAAAGGATGAATTAGTATTCTGTGGAAGGGAAGGACTTCCGAAATCTTGATTCCATTACCCATTAAAATCGAAAAATATGGATATATCGGTCCTATTGAAAATTTAGCTATCGAAATTATATCGAAAATCCTCCCATTCGAATCGAAATAATATCAAGGAGTCCTGGTCTGATTCAAGGCTGGTCTATCCCAAGGATATTTATAATACATAATATCCTTGGGTATATACTAGGTTGCCTCATATAACTCCGCCGACCAATGGGAACTAAGTGAGGAATTGGCGCGCTTGACGTTCAACCTGTATGCTACTTTTAAATGAACTTACGAGTTTTATACTGTTTTATACTTTATAAATGTCATTTTGATGGAATTTCAAGGTAGATATATATATTTTTAATGTATTTTGGAAATACTAACTATTAACATAATATTTCTTGTATTGTTAATTATAAATATAATGTTTTAAAGTTTTATTATAGATACCTATTTTACCTACTAATGAATTAATTCCAATTGAAAAAATAATAATCTAAATTACATACTTAAAGCATAAAATTAAAAATCAAGTAATTTTAATTTATTTATTTATTTATTTATTATCTTCATTTTTTTAAATGGTATACACATATCTATTGTCTGAAGCTATTTATTTGTGGCATTTAGTATTTTGTTTGCTTCATTGGGTATTTTGCCAAAATTAATTAAATGAACCATTGCACCAAAAGGATTAGTGTGAGATTTTTGGTTACGCAAATCTAGTTCCAAATAAACAACCCTTAACTGACCCTCTTGGCGCAAGGGTTCATTTAATTAATTATTAATTTTTTCAACAGGTAGCAAAACACCCAATCAAGCAAATAAAAAAGTACACATATCTATTATGTCAAATAATATAATTATTGTTAGAGCAATTTTTTCAATATTAATATTTGAAATGACCAATAGCTGACATAACTCCAAAACTTAGATAGAAGCGAAGCGATTCACGTACGCATCAGCCTCTAGTCGTTTGCCTATATTTTGTAGTGCTTTAGTGGTTTTTTAATACAATTTAAATTGTGTATATGAACGAAGTGCATAACTGAGATACATCCCTGTTGATGATTGTGTGTACACACTCTTCGATACACCCTTATCTGAGATGAGGTAGTGGCGATTTTCAATCTTGAGTGATTTTCCATTCATGTTTGATCTGGTATCATCATCACTAGGTCGCCGCCAGAGACGGCGTCTTACTTTCTAGCCATGTCGGGCTGCTCTAAATGTAAAATTGACAAGAATGAAGGTGTTGTTGGATGTGAAGGAACATGCAAGAGATGGTTTCACTTTTCATGTATTGGACTTAATAGTGTAGAATTCACAATGTTAAGCAAGAGCACTAACTTATTTTTCCTCTGTGATTCCTGCAAAAAGAAGTGTTCCATATTGGAAAATAATACTGCGAAGGAGTATACTGCTAATCTCCAACGTATCAATGAGGGCTTTACTAAACTGTGTTCTTCTGTTGATATTAAACTGAAAGAAAAGCTGTCAGAGTTCTCTAATCTTTTTAACAAATTCAAGTCTGAAGTTTTGACCCAATTTATGAACGAAATTCAAACTGCTGTGCAAAATAATTTAAGTGAGTTTATTGTTCCAAAAATAGATGAACTTAAACCGAAAATTGATCAAATTGCTGTACAAGGGAATTCAAAAGCAAGTTACGCTAATATAACTAAAAGGCATCCTGCACTCGTTGTTAAACCTAAAATCAAACAAGATCATGCAACAACGAAGCTTGATATGATAAAAAACGTACACCCTGTTGAATCTAACGTCAATATTACAAAAGTTAAGGGAATTCGAGATGGTGGTTTATACGTCAGTTGTGGAAGTACTGAAGATTATAATAAATTCAAACAACTTGTTGATGGTAAATTAAGTGACAATTACACAATTAAAGAAGTTCCAGTATTAAATCCCAGACTTAAGATAGTAGGTTTATCTGAGAAGCTGGACGAGACTACCCTTATTAGTTATATAAGAACCCAAAATTCTAATATCGTACATGAAAATAGTATTCTTAATGTAATATCTTGTATACAATCCAAAAAAAACGGAAGGGTATATCATGCCGTGATTCAGACAGACGTGAGTACATATCATAAATTATTGAATAATGGTAAGTTATTTGTTGGCTATGATTATTGCAATGTTTTTGATGCAACTGAGTTGCGGAGATGTTATAAATGTTGTGGATATCACCATTTGGCAAAACAATGTACATCTTCTGTTAATATTTGTCCTTTATGTGCTAAAAATCATAAGCTGGATGAGTGTCCACGGCCTAATAATTATTCTTGTATAAATTGTATCAATTATAATAAGAACAGTAAAGACCCTGTTGGTGCCGACCATGCTGTCTGGGACAAAACATGCCATGTTTATATCTCAACTCTTAAAAAATTTAGAGATAACATTATTTCTCCACAATAGCAATCAAATAATTCTACTGTGAATAATTTTAAGGTCAAGCCCAATTCTTCCTGTTCGCCTAGTTTTACATTTTATTACCAAAATATTCGAGGCGTTCGCACTAAGATAAATGACTTATTTGTTAACAGTTCAGTTGCACTTTACGATGTTGTTGCTTTTACCGAGACTTGGCTGAATGATAGTTTTTATAATGATGAGTTGTTTGATAACAATCATTATGATGTTTTCCGCACAGATCGAAATTTTATCTCTACTGGTACTAGTAAAGGGGGTGGTGTCTTACTGGCAATTAATAAGAAATTTAACGCATCCGAGTTCAATTACAAATTCGATCGTAATATTTTTGACGATATTTACTTTATTGACATTGTCTCTATTAAATTTAAGGTAAATAACCGCAATGTATATATGTTTGTTATTTACATACCGCCTAAAGTTGTTACAGACTCTTATGAAAAACTGTTTTGTGCCCTCGAATCATTGTATGAGATATATAACTCTGATATAATAATCGTTGGCGATTTTAACATCCCCAATTATGCGGATTATACCCCTAAATCAGACAATTTAACAATTAATTTGTTAAGAAATTTTTTAAACTTTTACGAATTCAGTCAATATAACAGCGTCTTAAACTGTAACAATAGAATTCTGGATTTGGTTATTTCCAATATTGATTGTGTGGTATCGCACTCCCCTGATATATTACTCCCTGAAGATCTTTTTCATCCTGCATTGCTTGTCAGCATTTGTGTTCCAAATAAATTAACGAGAAGTCGGGGACCCTCTGAGGTGGATTTTAATTTTAATTTTAAAAAGGCTAATTTTCCCGCTTTATATCAGGAACTGTCATTGGTTGACTGGTCTCCTTTAAAAAGTTTTACGTGTGTCAATCAACTTGTTTTTAAGTTTTATGAAATATTAAATTCAATTTTCATTAAACATGTTCCACGTAAGATATTTTCTAATAAATGCTATCCGCCATGGTTTGATGGTGATTTAATTAGATCTATTAAGCTGAAGAATAATGCGTGGCACACATATCGGTCCTCCTTAAATGGGGAAGATTATAATACATATAAGCGGTTGCGTTCCGCCGTGAAATACAAAAGTCAAACAGCTTACTCAAATTATATCTCTGCTACGGAATTAGAATTGAAATCAAATCCAAAAAAGTTCTGGACCTTCGTCAACTCAAAGAGAGGTAACTCAAC